TGACAGACACACTTTTGGTACTAAAGTATACAACAACAGTGAAGATGACTTTATAAAGTAGGAGCCATGTAAGATGTTGACCCTCTAAACTTTACAGGCTGGTAAACTCCAAACATTTGACGCTCGTCTGGTTCATTGCTTTAAACTGTGGACGCACAATGATGGGGCTATTTGGTCGTTGTGTTTAGCTCCCGATAATGTAAGGAACTCTTTACTTCATTTTAAAAGTATCATTTGGTGTGGCTGCTGAGCATCATTTTGACAAAATTTGTTGACCCCATGCCCTTTATAATATATTAATCTCTAACACTTGTTTGAATATGCACATGAAATATAGACTTGACGAGATCTGAACTGTACCGTCGGGAGTCCGCCGCCTACCCAAGTTGAGCTACCAAGCCTGACAGGGATTTGAGACGAGTCATGTCTTTTTAAATCTCTGCATGGACGAGATTCTCGCTGATATAATGTTTACTGGATGGCATTGTTTTGTTCTTTATTCCAGCCACCATCAGAGAATATATATAATTTATTCATCCTGAACACGGTTTTTAATATGCACATGAAAACATGTGACTTGGACGAGATGAACTCGCACCTTGGATACTAGTCCGCCGCTCTTACCTGTTGATCTACCAAGCCCACAGAGGGATTGGAGACGGATTTGGATTAATATATTATATATATACTCTGATGATTGCTTTGGAATAAAGTCGAAACACAGTGCCATCCAGTAAACTGCTATAGTGGCGAGAATCTCGTCCATACGGAGTTTAAAGAGATTGACTCTGTCTCCAATTCCTGTGGGCTTGGTAGCTCAACAGATAGAATGGCGGACTAGTATCCCGAAGGTGTGAGCTCAAATCTCGTCCAAGTCACATAATTCATGTGCATATTAAAACCGTGTGTTTGGATTAATATATTATGTATATACCATGCCCTTCTTAATATGTTGATTACTTGTAATAGAAATAGCAGCGCTCTTTTGTTTGTAAACTTTGTTATTCTCTGTTTGTCATTTTGTAACTCCTTGAAGTGACATATGTTTTCACTCTCGTCCCTCATATATTCTTTCAGTGAATTGTTCAGAGGGATCTCTAGACTACGCACATCTAGAAATGATAATTTCATCAATTTCTAGACGCTATTCGCCCTGGTGGTATGGTGACAAGGATGTAAAATTTTGGGAATTTGATTTGATTACGGATGATGACCATTCAACTACTGTATGTTAAATAGTTTCATGTAAAGCAACGTTTGCACTCAACGTGATTTTTCACACGTGATCTTCTAAGACGAAATGTCCATTGTCTGTCGGAGCAAAACAACTTCATGTACCAATTCTGTTAAAGCTTGTCTTTGTAATGTTTTTCTCTTGTTTTTCTTGTGCATTTCATGATGTTTGTAAAGAAAAAAGTGGTTAAATGACCGTCCGCTTTTGTTTGTTCAATCTCAGCTTAACATTTTCTAATTGTATGATTCAATATTTTCTAATTGGTTTATTTTTTCGTTGTACAATTGGGTGATTCATTTGTATTATTTTGTTTAGTCAACGATTAAGTATTTGTCATGCATGAACATTAAAGATGAATGATGACGTAATGTGTGTAAAGTTCAGGTTAGTTGTTGATATATTCGTTACTGTGGGAGGGTTTATGTACTTATGATCTTTCGTTTAATCACGTGCCAACCTTCTTTGCAGTCCAAACCAAAAGTTTATGCCGTGGCTTTGCTTGATTTTACAATGAAAATTTTCTTCACTGATACATTGAAGGTAAGTTTTAAATATTTTGTACGTAGTTGATGATATTGGATAGCAGTTGATGGTATTAGATAGCAGTTGATGATCCTGGATAGCAGTTGGATGTTGATAGCAGTTGTTAGAATATTTTCATTTGTTGCTGTAGATCACTTTAAAGATGACTCCTTGTACGAAATTCTCCCATTTGTTTTTCTATGAATCACGATAAAATGCACTTTGAGTTAGAACTGTTTCCTTCCTAAAAAATTCACTAAAAATCCACTCTTGTAAAAAGAAGGAGATATTTTTGACTTTAAGCTAGTTACGTAACATTGGATTAATTTATACTTTCCATCAACGTTATAATTTGATTTACAGAAGTCTCAAAAATTTAACTGAATAAACATTTTCCTGTCCATTGATCCTAATTACTTTTGTATTCATTCTTTAAATGTGGTTACTTTTCCCGCGTCGTTATTTAGTTCTTCCTATCCCTCTATGGTCATAAATTACCTGTTGTTACCATGGATATATAAACGGTACGTTTTATTCATATGACGTCTGTTTCAAAGTATCCACGTTTGACTGTCGTATGCAAGCGTGTATTGTGTTTACAAGAAGAATCCTTAGCTTACGTCATGGGCGCATACATTTTGTATACGTCACATCCGTTTTAGTTGTCGCATAAATTATACTGTTTTTTCAAGCTCACAGGAACGGCTTTCATCTTTGTTTTGATATCATGTTTTATAATATGTTTTTTATTTTTGGTTGAAAGAACTTTACGACATAAAATAGAAGAAAAATACGTATACACAAAAGATACATTACCAAGCTGTAAATAAGTCATTTCGCAATAGCTTTTCGAATTAGATATTTTCGAATTAAACATACAAAGTGAGTCAATTTTATATTATATAAATATATTAATAATTTATATGACAGTTCAAAAGAATGTAAATTTTGCTGGTAAGCTTTTCTTCATGTTGCTTTAAACCCAAACGAGGAAGTTTGGTTTGTGACGTAAACTAAGGAATTATCAAATGAGCGATGGTTATGGGAATGTAATGAAAATTGATTTGAAACTTTGAAAAAGACGTACATAATGTCAACTACGTATGACCGTGTAAATTTTTATCAATCCTCTGTTGTGAAAGTGTAGAGCGTGTAGTGTCCATCTCTTGACCACTTTGTATTAGTGAACGCTTTTCAATGGCGTCGTTTTTATTTTTTGAAACTTTTCTCTGTCTTTGATTCGTATTTTGTCATCCTTGATTCATTTTTACAGGATAACGTTCTCCTCGTTTCTGGTGGCGTTGACAAGAACATTAAGATTTGGGGTTTGATTTTGGTGATTGTCGAAAATCAATATTCGCCCATGATGACAGGTACGTACAATGTAATTTTAAATGACAGATACGCAATTTTATGACAGTAATATATGATAGCCTGAAACAGTCGATTATATCCCTACTATACACTCGTATCCTATGTACATCTTCATTATACCCTATTAAACCCTCTTACCCTGGTTACATCATTGTTTCGTCATCACCATACCTCGTACGTCTATAACATACTAGTAAGCCACGTCCTCAATTGTTTTATACGTAGATTTGCTGCATATTTTTTTTACCCGCATGTTATCAACATTACACCCCACAATACCTACATGTACTTTCATTGTATACTTTATATTCTCATGTTATCAACATTATACCTAGTAATACCTACATGTACTTTCATTGTGTATCTTACATTCTACATGTATTTCCTTCAACATTATACCTTTAGTAATACCTACATGTACTTTCATTGTATACTGTATATTCTCATGTTATCAACATTATTCCTAGTAATACCTACATGTACTTTCATTGTATATTTTATATTCTCATGTTAACAATATTACACCTAGTAATACCTACATGTATTTTCATTGTATACCTTATATTCTCATGTTATCAACATTACACTTTAGTAATACTTACATGTATATTCGTTAATATATTGTAATAGCTTTAATCTTCTTTAGTGTCATGGGTTTGCAGTTCGTGCCGAAAACTCATTATTTCTTCAGTGCAAGTAAAGATAAAACGATAAAATATTGGGATGGACAGATTTCTTCATGTTACGACCTTAGAAGGTCATCATTCAGAAATATGGAGTCTTGCAATCAGCCATGACGGCGAGTTTGTTGTAAGTGCAAGTATGGAAGGTTTTAGATAATTTTAAACATAAGTTGTTTGATATGAATGAAAGAATAAATGAAAAACGTTATTATCAATAAGAGTACCATTTACTCAAAGATCAACACTTATTCTTAACACTCCAGTTCCACATGCATTTTATTTTATCTTATAGATCAGTGGGTCACATGATAAATCATTAAGACTTTGGGAACGAACGGACGAACCGTTGTTTGTCGAAGAGGAGAGAGAAATGGTACTATACATAGATCTGTTGCTGAGAGCTAAAAAATATGCATATAGTACCTGTACTTTCAATGTTTATTTTAATTTTTCTATTGAGGAGAGGGAAGCAGCTTACGAAGAAAGCGCCGTAACAGGAGTTGAAACAATTGTAAGATTCTTTTTACTATGTAACATGAGATATATATGTTCCATCTTGAGCCCAACTACTCTGTATTTGTTATATACTTTCACTATGGAAAAATCTTGTGGAAGTTGCATTTATTGCACTAAATAAATTCATTTATTTAAACCATGATGTTGTTTAGATTCCAGGTGAACAAGACACAGAAGCTGTTAAAGCTGGCAAGAAAACTATCGAGACGATCAAAGGAGTTAGTTTTGTTGTTGTATTAGCATTGCAAGTAAATTTTATTGGTTTTGTGCCCAGTCCCCCCTATAGTACCTGAAAGATACCTCAAAATCATACAGATATATCGAAAACTGTAGTACACCAAAGACATGTGAAGACTGTGCATATATGAGGCCAAATGTTTAAGCTACATTCAGATGGAGTACTTGGAGGATATTATAGTAGAATACAGATACTTGCAAGATAATACAGTTTGATTGTGATACTTGGAGGATATTATAGTAGAATATAGATACTTGGAAGATAATACAGTATGATTGGGATACTTGGAGGATATTAGTATAATATATATATACGCCTGGAGATTACTATGTTGATGTTTGTTCTCTTATCTCTTCATTAGGCTGAAAGAATCATGGAGGCCATTGAATTGTATAAGGAAGAAAGACAGAAAGAACTTGAACATAAAGCGAGTCAAGGACAAAAGACAAAACGGTAGGTTTGTTATTTTGCTCTGCACATCTACAAAATGTTTATGTTATATGTATGGACAATCTTAAATCTTAAATGAAAGGTTTGTTATTTCTTGCTCTGCACATCTACAAAATGTTTATGTTTTACGTATAGACAATCTTAAATCTTAAATGAAAGTTTTGTTATTTCTTTCTCTGCACATCTACAAAATGTTTATGTTATACGTATAGACAATCTTAAATCTTAAATGAACAATCTTAAATAACCATGACCGGCAACATAACAAAACTTTCCGAGACGAAACACCCTAATTGGGGCAACGCCCTACACTGTTATTAAACCCTACGTGTGAAACCACCGCCAATATTTTCTTACTCTCTAATTTGACCACGCCCTGCATCGTTATTTTACTCTACCCATGAAACCACCAGTAATATTTTCTTACTTCTAATTGGGGCAACGCCCTACACTGTTATTTAACCCTACCTGTGAAACCACCGCCAATATTTTCATACTGTTTAATTGGGACCACGCCCTGCATCGTTATTTAACCCTACCCATGAAACCACCAATAATATTTTCTTTCTCTCTAATTGGGACAATGCACTACACTGTTATTAAACTCTTCTACCAATGAAACCACCATTATTTTCATACTGTCTAATTGGGACCACGCTCTGCACTGACCTACCCATGAAACTACCACCAATATTTCCACACTCTCTAATTGGAACCACGCCCTTCGCCCTTCACTATTGTCTGATTTATATAGAAAATCCCAGTTTCGTTTTTTACACAAGTTCTTTTTGCTCTCCCATACATTTTCTTTCCTTTGAACAGCTTTCAAAGCGCGCCATTCATCCCATTCTTGCTGCCTTTGGTAATGTCAGTGTAAGTTTATTATATCTTCAATGTTTCTATTTGAGAATCACATGAAGACCACGTGATACAAGGTGAAAGCCACGTGCATGTTGAGCATGATTAATGTAAATATTAATGTAATGGTAAGATTGCAAGATTTACATACGTACGTACGTAGATAAGGTAAAAATGGATGAGATGGCTTTACATTTATAACAACTCTAGAAAGTTAAATGTAAAATACACAGGATTTGTAATAATGAAATAAAATATCTTGACCACGAAGATGGAGGCCATAAATATTGTTGTTCTACGATTGAATGCCTGTCTATGTCAACCTCCTTTTCCCGGACCATATACTTACGACGTTTGTAAAATATTTTTCTTCTCACAGCCTGTACAGTATGTACTTCTAGTGGTGAAAAAGTAAAGTCAAGGTAAGGTTGAAGTATTATAAAGAGCAGCAAATTATCCCGTGAAGAATCGTTGTTTGTACTAAAAGTTAATTTAGAGCATTTTAAACGTAAAGTATGGCAAAGTGTCTCGTTGGAGTTACTAAAGGAATTAAATATTAAGTGTTATTAGAATACAGTAGAGGTATCTTATGAAGCAAGTGCTTTCTACAAAACATTTAAATTATTTAATTTCAGTGAACTTGAAGAATCATTGCTTGTTTTACCGTTTGACTATGTTATTGATGTACTGAAATTTCTTCTTGAGTAGATTAAGGTAAAGTGAAATGTATTTTGACTCCGGTGTCATTAGTTCACATGGTACAGGTTTTCAAATTTTGCTAATCCCAGATGTACGTGATTGTTTAGAATGGTTGGGAAACAGAGTTAAGTTGTCGATGTTTGTTCTTTCTGCTGCGGTAAGATTAAGACGTAATTTTGTTTTTGGTTTCGATCGATATTTTTCAATACGTCTGTCTTTAAATCATTCCCTAAGAATTTCATCACGTTCCTTCAGTATTGCTGAATATATGATACAATTGGTGAGATACCTATGTACAATGCTGGATATTTTTCATTTTTTCATATTTTGTTACGATAGAATACATCACAACAAGATCATATCCATCCTGAACTACTGCCAGTAATAGACTCTATCAGATCACATTGTCGTAGCCGAGTTCGCGAAATGAAGGTAGGAAGTTGTACGTTTATGAAAACGCAAGTATCGCCAAATTTCTCCCGTAATTTTACCATGCGCTACACGACCGTTAATTTATTCGTGGTAAATTTTGTCGACACTTTAATGACTGTAAACTAAACATGAAAAAGTCGTCAATTTGATTGGTTAAGAGCAATTAAGGCTTTCTTTCACAATACAGTGCCAATCTTAATACTGAGTTTGGCTTTGTATTAAAAGATTCATAGAATATTCTTTTGTGTATTAACAACAGAAAAAGTATGTATTTAGAAACAAAATATTCAAGAGTATGAAGATTTCATTTTTCTCTAGTTTTTAATTTTTGCTAAATTAATCGTCTTGAGTTTTTGAATTGTGTACTTCAAACTGCCACAGATGACTTTTGCAATTATATGAACTGAATAAATTTTCTTGAATTTTACATCGACGCCGATAAAACTATTGCACACTTGTAATGATTGCTTTATCTTTAGGATACTGTTGGATTCAATTTGGCGGGACTACAGTTTATTCAAAGACAGCTTGAGAATCGTGACGTCACATTCTTTGGCGAAACACGCGAGAGACTGGGACAAATACGAAAAAGAAGAAGACGATTGTGAGGAAATTTCGATGAAGGTTATTTTGTTGTTGATACTTTGACAATTAAAACGATTGTCTTCAAAAGTACACAATGGCTGCGGTTGATTTCTGTCTATAGCCATCTTCGAAGATCCCTAACCCAAACTGTACCCCTAGAGGGACAAGGAAAATCCCGTGTGCCCTTTAAATTACAATTTTCGTGATCAGCAGACGTTTAAATTTTGCATGATTCAGCAGTTATTGATACTGGATCAGGCTTAAAAGCTAAAGAAAGAATTTCGATCTTGGTATTTTAATAACTAAATAATGGGCTAGCCAGACAAGGACAATCGGAGTCTTTTACTTCTATGACATTGAAATACATTTTTTGCGTCTAATCCTAGCTCCCAGCTACATAAATAATCTTACTGCAAACTGATTTCAGAAAAGTTAAATTTAAATGAAAGTGAGATCATCAAATTCAACATCACAACTATCGGTGAATACCTCCATCGAATGAAAATATAGAATTAAAATAAGTTATTACATTACGTAGGGGAGTAATTCCAACTATAAACAAGAAGAAATAATGAATCGATTAACAATTATCAAGCAATTCACCCATCTACAAAACATATAAACAAAAAATGTATTTTATGAGTTACCAAAATGAATACAGAAAAACTGCATCCTCATATGACAAAAGTCTGGTCATTTCAGCATTCAACAAAGGGATGTAAAATTGTCATGGTTCTTCTAAGATATGGATTTATTTTCATGAAAATGACCCAACAAACACTTCACTCATTTTAAGGAGCTTACAACTTCAGACTAGATAGATTGCAAACGTACTAATCTCATATACACTGTAAAAGTTCCATACAAGTTTCTTAGCTAACAAAAAAAACTGTTCCAGTAACTAAATGACTATTGAAAACTTGAAAATACAAATGTTTGTATTGAATATTATCAAGAATATATTTAAACTTTTTTATATACAACTGTTGTTGTTAGGACTTTAGTGTAAATTTTTTCTTTAATTCACGGACTCCAAAATCTTGTAGAAATGTAGAGAGATTACCAGGAACACGTAGATACCAAAGATAGATAATCCACGATAGATTTAAGAGCTAAAATTTTCGAACGAAGATGAGCGCGTGATAAACAAAACAACCGCCGATCGAACAATTTATAAACTTTGATTTCTCGGCGAAAAAGGACCAATTTCAGCCAATAAACTCTTGAAATGATCGCTAGACTTTTAGCTACAAGATTATACCATAAAGTAAGGCCAATGAACAATTTTGAAGGAAGAAGATCAAAATTTCGAAGAGCACTGCCGGAAAATTCAATGGCCTTGCATTTTGACCTTACTGTGGCAAGATATCAGGCCGTGTAATTTAAGTAGGCCATGAAAGCTTCAATGTTAATTTCTTTAGTATTGCTCGTTCATAACAATCTTTTGCTTTTGTACTCTCCCATATCACTGTAAACCAAACCCAGATTGTTGTACGTTGTCACGATATTAACATGGTCAGGTCCAAATGCTTTCGTTTGAATTTCCATCGCTTGTATGCAAAAATGTTTGTCTTTTCGTACTCTCCTATTTTACTGTAAACAAAACCCAGATTGTTGTAAGTTTCGCGATACTAACATGGTCAGGTCCAAATACTTTTGTGTAAATTTCTAATGTTCGTTCGTAAAAATCATTTGCTTTTTCGTACTCTCCCATATCACTGTAAACGAAACCCAGATTGTTGTACGTTGTCGCGATATTAACATGGTCAGGTCCAAACGCTTTTTTTTTGAACTTACATCGCTTGTTTACAAAATGTTTTGGCTTTTCGTATTCTCCTATCTTACTGTAAACAAAACCCAGATTGTTGTACGTTGTCATGATATTAACATGGTCAGGTCCAAATGCTCGTTTGAATTTCTATGCTCGTTCATAAAATGTTTTGCTTTTCGTACTCTCTATATCTATGTAAACCAAACCCAGATTGTTGTACGTTGTCGCGATATTAACATGGTCAGGTCCAAATGCTTCCGTTTGAATTTCCATCGCTCGTATGCAAAATGTTTGGCTTTTCGTACTCTCCTATCTTACTGTAAACAAAACCCAGATTGTTGTACGTTGTCGCGATATTAACATGGTCAGGTCCAAATGCTTTCGTTTGAATTTCCATCGCTTGTATGCAAAATGTTTGCTTTTTCGTACTCTCCTATTTTACTGTAAACAAACCCAGATTGTTGTACGTTGTCGCGATATTAACATGGTCAGGTCCAAATGCTTTTGTTTGAATTTCCATTGCTCGTTCGCAAAATGTTTGCTTTTCGTACCTCCCATATCACTGTAAACCAAACCCAGATTGTTGTAGGTTGTCGCGATATTAACATGGTCAGATCCAAATGCTTTCGTTTGAATTTCCATTGCTCGTATGTAAAATGTTTGGCATTTTCGTACTCTCCTATTTTACTGTAAACCAAACCCAGATTGTTGTACGTTGTCGCGATATTAACATGGTCAGGTCCAAATGCTTTCGTTTGAATTTCCATCGCTCGTATGCAAAAATGTTTGGCTTTTTCGTACTCTCTATTTTACTGTAAACAAACCCAGATTGTTGTACGTTGTCGCGATATTAACATGGTCAGGTCCAAATGCTTTGTTTAAATTTCTAATGTTCGTTTGTAAAATCTTTGCTTTTCTTGTACTCTCCCATATCTTTGTAAACCAAACCCAGATTGTTGTACGTTGTCGCAATATTAACATGGTCAGGTCCAAATGCTTTGTTTAAATTTCTATTGTTCGTTCGTAAAATCTTTTGCTTTTTCGTACTCTCCTCCCATATGTTGTAAACCAAACCCAGATTGTTGTACGTTGTCGCAATATTAACATGGTCAGGTCCAAATGCTTTCGTTTGAATTTCCATCGCTCGTTCATAAAAATCTTTTGCTTTTTGTACTCTCCTTTATTTCTGTAAACAGAACCCAGATTGTTGTACGTTGTCGCAATATAACATGGTCAGGTCCAAATGCTTTGTAAATTTCATTGCTCGTTCGTAAAATCTTTGTTTTTCGTACTCCCATATCTTTGTAAACCAAACCCAGATTGTTGTATGTTGTTGCAATATTAACATGGTCAGGTCCAAATGTTTTCTTTAAATTTCCTTCGCTCGTTCATAAAAATCTTTGCTTTTTGTACTCTCCCATATTTCTGTAAACAGAACCCAGATTGTTGTACGTTGTCGCAATATTAACATGGTCAGGTCCAAATGCTTTTGTGTAAATTTCTAATGTTCGTTCATAAAATCTTTGCTTTTTCGTACTCTCCCATATCTTTGTGAACCAAACCCAGATTGTTGTACGTTGTCGCAATATTAACATGGTCAGGTCCAAATGCTTTGTAATTTCTATTGTTCGTTCGTAAAATCTTTTGTTTTTCGTACCTCCCATATCTTTGTAAACCAAACCCAGATTGTTGTAATATGTTGTCGCAATATAAACATGGTCAGGTCCAAATGCTTTCATGTAAATTTCCATCGCTCGTTCATAAAAATCTTTTGCTTTTTTGTACTCTCCTTTATTTCTGTAAACAGAACCCAGATTGTTGTACGTTGTCGCAATATAAACATGGTCAGGTCCAAATGCTTTTGTGTAAATTTCTATTGTTCGTCGTAAAAATCTTTTGTTTTTCGTACTCTCCCATATCTTTGTAAACCAAACCCAGATTGTTGTACGTTGTCGCTATTAACATGGTCAGGTCGAAATGCTTTTCATGTAAATTTCCATCGCTCGTTCATAAAAATATTTTGCTTTTTCGTACTCTCCCATATCTTTGTGAACCAAACCCAGATTGTTGTACGTTGTCTATATTAACATGGTCAGGTCCAAATGCTTTGTTTGAATTTTCATCGCTCGTTCATGAAAATCTTTTGTTTTTCGTATTTCCATTCTCCTGAAAGCAACCAACCCATCTCGTTGTACGAATATGAAACATCAACATGATTAACACCTAACACTCTAGTTTGAATTGTTGTTATATCCTTAGTACATTGATGGCCTGTTTAAAGTTGTAAAATTTTTTAATACATTTGCAAAGTATTAGCAATTTTCCAATTGCTTAATGTTCTTGTTTTGATGATTTTACATCGATCAACTTATTTAGGAAATGTTGAAATGATGAATTTGTTATGAATTTAATTAGATGGGGAATTATTTTGATTTGATCTCTGTCTTCAAAATGATAGAGTGCCCAAGCGACTTGACACGCAAGTAGAGACATCTTAGTCGAATTATTTTCTTTTGTTTACTGCAAGAGGTCTGCCAAATTTGATAATTTATGATGGCTTCATGTACAACGCGATGCAGGCGGATGTCGTTGTTTTCCGATTGAAGAATTAACGAACAATGCTTTTAATTGAGAAGACATATATCTTCTGCAGACGTATGTGGATCAGTGCTTTTAATAAATTGTATGATAATATCTTTGTAACGGATCGAAAGATATTATCGAGAAAAGACCAAAAACTTTTCCCATTAATATGGATTCTGAGTACTTTTTTTGTACTGCCAGCTCAACAGTTTTCAATATAGTTGATTTACCTCCAGAATATGCTGTATTGATCTTTGAAATGTGGCATCCATGCTCTGTCGCTCTTCAGTCAACTTATCGAAATATTGTCTCCACGTGAATTCCAGATTTGCACTATTTACACTACCTACGTAGTAAGCAGCACTTGCCAGGACCAATGGTTGACGATCTAATTTTTCTGACAAATTCTTTTTAAAAAACTCTTCATCATGATTATGAATATCGGAATAGACAGATAGAATTTGACGACATTCTTTATCATTCATACCATGACTGATTGAAATGTGTTTGTTTAAATTGTCATCTGGTGGTATAGCATCGGTATTTTGGACAGTTATATAATTTGTCCATTTTCCAATTATGATCACCAACTTGAGGTAATAATGGATAAATTTTATCCAGTTCAACCACGTTATCAACAACAATCCACCATATTCTCCAAGATTTCAGTTTTGTGTCAGCAGGAAATGAAAGTGTTTTATTCTGTCTTCGCTTTTACATTTTAAAAACATTTTCAATAAAATGTTCATGGATGTTCAAACGTTGACATAGGTCATTATAAGTTTTTAAGAGAGATTCCATCTTTTCCTTCGAGGTCATCACAAATGTAGTTTTATTTTTCCCAGTCAACAGAGTTAAACATTTTCACGCAAATTTGTCTAGCTAATTGAGATTTACCACTGCCAGGATACCAGAAATATAGTAGTATGTCAGTTTATTATTGTTAGTACAAAAACAAGCTATTGAGATCTGCTGTGATTTGATTAAGTAATTTTAATACGTTTAACAATGCCATGATTTGGTTTGCAAGGAAGTACTTGAAAAGAATTAAATTTGTTTCGTTGTCTTTTATTTTATTAATTTCATTGAATGAAAATCCTAGATCTTGAAACGAATTTTCAATATCACAAACCATTTTGTCAAATTCGGAATCAGATACTTTACCACTACAATCATGGATAAATTTGTTTCTAACAATACGAAGTGCATCAACTGCAGATCTAACTTTTGAGTTAACTTTGTTCCAATTGAGTTGGAATACAAGTATTGCTGCAAATAGTTGTACAATCCCACTTACTGGAAATGAAAAATCCACTAATGTTGTGAAATAATGAATTCTTTTCATAGCAGCAAAATGATAGAATGGGGAATGCAAATTTTATATGTTTTTGCTATATGACGACTTGCAACACAATATATAGATAAAACTTGGTATCAAACCATTTTGTTCAATAGCTATAAATGATGAGTAGTGTAGCTATTTATAGACCATGCCATTGAGCTAAATACAACTGGGACGCTACCTTTTATGAAGCCAAAACTGCGGGAAATCACCTCTGCGGTGTAATGGGTGGTGATAACGTTCCAGTGAGGGATTTTAAACTCATTTGTCATTCCTTTAATGAAGCTCCCTACAGTTCAACTGAGATTCGGTGTGTTTCAGGTAGCCTTCACTTACAACATTATTTTGATCAAACACACTCAAATTTGGAAATATGATTGCAGGATAAGAATGACAGTAAAGTCTAAAGATGCTTGAATAGGATAACTGTTCGCGTTGTTGTGGCAACCATGTCTCATTTTCTTTTACACTTTTATCGTCAAGGTTTTTGGAACTCATGGTATCGTTTTTTCGGTTCAGTCAATATTTCTGATTTTTTGCTTGACGATTGTTATTATTCAAGAAGCATTTTGTTTAACAACAAAGTAATTCTTTCTATTTGAATCTATTTGAATTTCGTTTGCTCACGGTATGTAGATGGAACTGTTCATGATGTTGTTAAAGATATGTAAAATAACTACATGAATCTTCCTTACAACGACGGAATCTGATTTCGAGTGAAGAGGAAGCAATCACCACAAGAGATTTGCAAGAAAATTCAAAGTGCACCTGCCAAATTTGTATATAGATGGAGTATTGTGAGAAGAGTACTCTAAGGATAGCCATTGACGAGGAATAGTACAAGGACCAACAGAGAATGTGGTTGATTCATCGTGAGATTGTGGAAAGGTGCTGTCTAATTGCAAAATTACCCGAGAAGAGAAGTTATTTTCTAGATTGGATCATAAAAATATTGTAAGGCAAGAAGAAGTTTATCTTCCAAATTAATCAAAATTATATAACATAATGGTTCAAAGCGAGGTTCAATTTAGACGATACAAAATTCTTTGGCTTATTAAATGTTATCTTTGTGAAACTTGTAAGAAAGTGATAATCCTTTCTTCATGAAGCCCATGGATACTTTTCTTCATTATGGGAGAGTCATATTATAAAGAGGCTCGTTCATCACGAGAGATTTTGAGGAAGTTACATTGTAAAAGGTAACAAGTAAAAAAAATGTATGAACATGCTTAGAGTCGGTTTACGTTATGAATCAAAAAGCAGAAATTGTTTGAAAATTTGCAATATCTTTGGATGTTCTAGTTTCCTTTCAAAGAAGAATTATGTTAAAGAAAAAGATAAATTTTTTGAAAATGAAATCCTGTTTTGTTCTATGCCTCCCGTTGCCCCGAGATATATTTGAGCACTGAATGTCTCATGTTAATTAAGGGAACCAGATAATCCTATCAGTCCTGTAGCCCATGGATGGTTTGCACGTGATACGCGAGAAACAGTAAATGAGAGCTCAATCAGAAAGATATAAACCAATAAAAATTGTATAAAACATGTTTAAGGTTGTCTTAAATTATAAGTGCAAGAAAAAGCACAGTGTCAGAAGAAGTTATTGAAACATTACTTGGTTTATTTTATGAACATTGGTTTATTTTGTAAACAAAAACATAAATTGAAAAGCAAAAGACCTGTTTTCGGTCCATGCTTCCCGATACCCTCTTAAGCGTAAGGCACTAGAACGCCGCATGTTAACGTTTTGGTAGAGATATCGGCCCTCCACGCTGTCCCTTGGGAGATGCAATAGCAAGCTTCCGCCCATCAAACCACGAGATCACCTGCGATAGGTTTTGCTTGGGGTACGCAGGAGAGGCGGTCATGACCGAAGTCTGGGCCCTAACACTGCATACTATATCGCACCCAGCTTCCACTGCTAGTTAACATCTAGCGCATGCCCAGATGATTTCTCTATTATATTGTTACTGCGCGCAATTTACTTTCAAAAGTGGTGCTAGTAGATGTAGTTGGTCGTTGCCATGACCATGAACTTTGGTGAATGGTAAAGTTGACTGCGCATGCTCATTGAGATCACGCATGCGCAGATGATTTATCTAAAAATTTTTGTTAGATGGAGCCATTATTCATAATCGGTACTTTAGTACATACAGTTGGCCGCTGGCTAACCATGAACATGAAGTGTTGGTGCAGTAGATACGCATGCTAAGATTAATTCTCAATTAATTTGGACCGAGCAAGCTCTGAAATTGTTGCTTATGAATTTGCTTAGCAATTTTCAATAAAATTTTTGGCACGCTGTTTGTCTCTTAAGATTGTTTAACAATTGCATATCAAACACATAAACACTTTGTTACGCCACTCGTAATATCTGTGACAATGCAGATGATTTTTTTTCCAAACTTTGTATTCCATATTTTGCGGATAAAAAATCCTCTAACATTTATGACAGATTTTACATTCAAAGATTGAAGTAGAAGAAATACTGAAAATGAAACTTCCAACAGTGAAACAAAATCAAGAGGACAGAGATGACAACAGCTTAAACGACGGCGACAGCTTAAACGACGGCGCCAGCTTAAAGATAGCTTGATGAAATTGGAACGTATTAGCACATAGTCTACGCTCGAGGGTTTTGGATGAGAACACGTTCACCTATGAAAACACCAATGATTCCAAGCATGTTGACGACGATAAAAACTCTAACGAGGAACATGCTCCAATACAAAACAATCCGTTACTAATAACACAAAGTCTGCTTTCAAATTTGTTCAAAAAGAAATATCGATGAATCATATACAGTTTGAAGCTCGTTGGCTCACGTAATATATAGTAGTAAGAATTGTCTTGATGTTGTTGAAAATGTGTAAAAATAACTACCATGCTAGCGTCTGTGCTACAAACATGCACCATCGCCCCCACTGTGGGACGATACCATTGACAACACCCTTCCTCCTGGTCTATATTGGCGGAAATTGACGCCATAAATCCCAAACGTGGAAATCGTGACAATTTGTAGTATCTCAAGATGAATTTCCACTATTTAGACTCTTCTTCTCCTTTAAAATGGTCTTAACAAAATCTTATCTGCGTTACGTCGAAGCTGGAATCTTTATGTAGTGGGAAGCAGTTAGAGCTAATGTGTGTCTTGTTCAAAGTGGCGAGAAAAAGACGTGAAATTTGCCGCGCGATTGTTCCCGCACTAGAAAATGTATATATTTGGGACGCTAGACTTGGCGAAAAGTATTAGAAGAGAATTGTTGAAACCTTAAAACAATGTTGATTTTCTACTATTAAATGTGTTTTTATGATATGCTTATCTAAATGTCTAGGTGAATGTCTTACAAGGTAACAAGAGCGAAGTTACATGTCTCGCTCTCAGTCCTAACTCTGAACATCTTGCTGTTGGGTGAGTAAAACAATCTTATCTAATTAAATAATCAGTCAGTCGAGCAATTCGACAGTCAGGCGAGCAAAATATACTCGTAAAGCAGCGGCCAATTCCAAATTTACAAGCGACTACAGGCAATAGAAGCTTTCAGGCAAGTTGGTACTCAGAAAGATTGGCTTCTTTGTAGCTCAGAAAAGAATGCATTGTTCTGTTGGCCTTGTCTTTGGTTTTGCCCTGGATCGTCATCTTCATGGACGCAGACGGGATTCTAAAACATAAAGAATTTCCATCCGATTGTAAGAAGCATGAGAAGGCAAAATCGCACATGGGTGCCTACAAGACCTGGAAGACTACGGTTTTCAGCCCGTATCGACTGTCTCATGTCACAAACTAGACGTGAAGAGATTCAGCGTCATAACGAGGAGGTAAGGCAAAACAGGGAAATGTTGAAACCATAACAGAAGCTGTTTTATACTTGTCTAGGCAAGAGTCAATAGGGGGCATGATGAATCTGGCAAGCATGAATAGAGGAAATTATAGAGAGCTACTTGAAAGTTTTGCCAAAATGGGTTCTGTTTTTGAAAGGCGATTGCATGGAAGGCTTGCTGAAACCCACCTTGCTGGGGGAGGGCGGTTTACTGGAGTCTCTCCTAATATTCAGAAGGATTTGATTGATTGTCTTGATAAGATAATAGAGATGAGATTTTTAAAGGAAATATATTGCTGCACTTCTTAAGTATACAGGTTGATTAGGCAACTGATGTTTCTGTACCAAAGAACAATTGAGTGTAATTTGTCTGAATGGAAAGGGAAAGCGTCATTCAAAGACAGTTTGGGTTTGTTGATGTTAGTTGTGATAGGACTGACACTGCTATATCATCAGTGGTTAAGGGTGTTAAGTCAATATAATAATGTGAAAAGAAATTTATTGGACAGACTTATGATGGTGCATCTGTTATGTCTGGTCATCTCAATGGTGTTCAAGCTCAAGTTCAGCAGGATTATCCTTATGCTCAATTTGTTCACTGTGCTGCCCATAGACTAAATCTAGTATTACAAGCTGCATCCTCCATCTCACCTGTTAAGATTTTCTTTGTTAATATTAGTGCTTCTGCACCTTTACTAGCAATTCTAAAGAAAAGCTTTACTATCATCCCATAGGCTTGAGTTTCCTAGTCCCAGACACAAGATGGTATTATAGGCCTATGTCAATGTATTGCATTCTAACTATGAGAAACTGATAGACATATTTGAAAATCTTACTGATAATCCAATAAATAAGGTTACTGGTTTACTTGGAATTTTAATGGCTTTGTTTGTTTCTTGGTACATGTTTGTCAGAGAATTCTTGAGCAGTCATCCATACTTTTATTCTATCTTGCAAGACAAGGACACTGACTTTCATTATGGAATGAGTAGGTTTGAGAGATTCAAGGCCTTTGTTGCTTCTCTGAGAAATGATACAGAATATTGTCAGTGTACAACCTGGCTGTTGAGAAAGTGGGACCACCAGTAACCAGGTATGACCAACGGCATAATTACAAACAAATGTATTTTGAAATTTTGACACAATTGTACTATGCTGACTGAGCGATTTCAGGATATGGAGCGTTTTAGATTTTTGACCTTGTTAATCCTAGGGTGTTTAAGATGAAAGGTGAAGTGCCCTCAGAAAAGATAAATCTTCTAAAGGAGGTTTATGGTGATATGTTTGACATACCAATGCTAGTTAGCCAACTTTGTTTTATTTACAGAGATAAAGACTTTCACTGTGATTCATGCGATGAATTATTGAAATAATTTTTAATTCCATTATCAATCTAGTATTCTGTGAAGTTAAAGATAAATGGGGTTTTGTCAATTACAAGTGCTTCAGTTGAGAGGTCATTTTCATGTTTGAAGAGGGTAAAAAATTATCTTAGAAATACTTTGAGCCAAGGACGTTTTAGTTCTCTTTGGGATTTCCATTCACAAAGACATACTGTCAGAGAAAGAAAACGCCAACACATTGCATGATGAGGTAGTAAAGAAGTTCATTGAAACCACGAAGATTTGCTTTACAAATAGGTATTCATATATGGCTGATAACAAGCTGATGATGTCTTACGTCCATGGCATGTGAGAATTTTCCGAACTTTTAATGCAGTCAATGATGATTGTCATTTCAGCACGACAATTTCATCACAACTTTTGATAGTTGTTGATGACAAATCTGAGCCTTTTCGGTTCTTTGTTAAAGTTTCTTTACAAGATGTACATAGGTATCTATTTATGTATGTGGTGTTGAGAAAATAAATCACATATCTGCAACTATTTTGAACTGTTTTCTGCTTTACTATAAGATCCTTCGGCAATTAACCAAAAATGGTTCTATTTCCTGCATAAATATCACGCATTTGCTTTCTAAGATTGCCGTTCGACGTTCTAGGGAGTCTAAATTCGGTTCGCTCGGCGCCAACCATGGTGGCGCCTCGTGAGCCCGACCAAATGTTTTCGCTAGCTACGCCACTGTAAATAATATTATAACATTTCATTATGTCTAGTAAATGATACTTGTATATTTACTTCATTGTGGCTAATCAAATAATTTCAACAGTAAAAGGTATGGTTGTAAGAACACAAGGTCAGGCAGGGAAGGCCTTCAACCCAACTTGCTTATAAAAGCCAAATCCTGGACCTCTAACTTATAAAAGCCGATTCACCCTTCCCCTTGTATTTGATATCTTGATATCCAGGAAAAAATGTCAGTCAACCTAAAGTATGTATGTTAACAAAATGAAAATCATTGGTGTACATTCCACAAGTCCCAAACTATTTTAATTTCTACATTTTTGTTAGACTAGATAAATTACATCCCTTGACAACAGGTAATAAATTTGCCGAAATAAAATAATTTTCTTTGCTTTTGAAAACTGAACAGCTTTTGATCTTAATGTATGTAATAAATTTGCAGCTGCTTACAGGGAGAAGAATGTAAAGCTTAACCTGCATACATGCACCTCCACCTGCAGTTTATTTAAATTTTAGGTATGGCGATGGTGTCATCAGAATTTGGAATATAAATAATGGTACATTCGTGACATTTAGGTACATTCTGTCATGGAATATATATTTTTCAATTTTGGTTCATGCTCAACCATTTTTACCATCGGTACTCTGATTTCCATTACTAAACGGTCCAGAACCTATTTCAAAAATTTTCAGTAAACAAACAGTTAATATAACTCATATGAAAAAAAAAATATTTAAAATTTATTTTCTCTTGTAAGGTTTATCGCAGGTGCTGCAAATTGTTCAGCACGTTTTTGACTGGTAGGTTTGTTTCCTACACTGCTTGGCAACATGGCCCAATCTTTGCATATGTAGCAACGTCTTCCTGTTAAATATTCATAAGGAAGTTGTAGTTCATAACACTTTTTATTTGTTTGTGTCATTAGCTTATTTCTGTTAACAATAATGCATGCAACTTGAAAGTTTTCAACCATCTAATCACGTTGATGTTTTATCACTAGGTCAATCAAACTTCTCTCATACATTAAACTCTATACAAAAAAAGTATATAATTGTCAATTACAATGGCCATGAAAGAAATGTTATTTCATTTTTTCTCATTACTTTTCTCGCATTCATTCATTTTGTGGCCTTTGTGGCCACAATTATAGCATCTTCCTTCATTGAAAAAAACAATGGCAATTATCAGCCTGGCATCAAAGGCAATTAGTACATGTATATACTATACCATGCCTTTTAAATGAATTTTTTTGCTTTGACATTGTTCTCTACATAAACAAATCGTTTGTTAGGTGCTGTTTGATTTGTTATGTGTGTATGATTAAATTTCAGGTTAAAAGACTCATGGTGAAAGACTCATGGTGAAAAAGATTCAGGTGAAAGATCAGTGAAAAGTGCTCAGGGTGAAAAAGACAAAGTATCATGAGAAAGCTGATGGGCATATATCATATATGAATGAGAACAGTATTGTATACAAAGCACTGTTTTACCTTCTTTATTTTTTTGGTTTTCAGAATTGAGCCACCTCAAATGTAGTAGATTTTAGCACATTTTGATGCATTGATGTATTGTGTAATAATGCAAAACAATCATTAAACAGTATAACCATTTTTGGCTAAATACACACTTGCATTTTCGTTATCTTCTCTTCAGTTCCCTGACCTGTTTTGAATGCAATTGAACTATTTGAGGATTTTCAGTTTTCAAAACAAAACAAATTTTATACACATTTGATACCAGTGTCCATTGCTTTTTCCCTCATCTGTGTAATCTAGCATCTGGTGTTTTGTATGCAAAAAACGATAAAGTGTAAATAGATATTTTGTAAGAAGGGATTTAAACCATGTAAATGAAATAATTTCAAGGAATAGAACTTTCATTTCAGGCAAAAGATCGAAGACTCTGGGGACCTTCCAAGACGATTTTGGTGACATAAGCTTCCTAAAAAGTCTACACACTTACGTGATAAGGTGATCTCACTTTTCTAATGATGTTATCTTTGCTTACCTTTCTGAGAGATTTCAAACCCGAAAATCCCATAGGATAGCATTGCACCAACATTGTGAAAAACCATCCGTCAGAAGTACCTCGAACTGGAATTCGATCCCGATAAGATCAAGACTGTGTCCACTGCTGCCGAAGGTTTGTAAATGGTCATTGCGATGATCAATATGATAAGTAAAATGAAGCATTTACTTGTTATTCAATGTTCATTATAAAATAAAATCAATGCAACGCATGCGCTGATTGCATAAGCGTGGAGTCCGTTCGATTCTGAGCTCAATCAATCAAATCAATCAAAGAGAATTTTGCAAATGGACCATGAATACATGTTGCTGAGAAAATTTAAGCGTTTGTTTTAAGTTGTTTGTTTTGCATTGTTGTTATTTTATAGAAAAAAATCAAAATTTTGTTTTGTTAGCTTGGCTTATGCAAACCTTTGAGACGTTTGTGAGAGCTCTAAAGTTGGTGCGTATTATTTACATAAGATACATTGCAGTACATCACTGTACATCATTTTACATGAGGATACATCACAGTGCATCAATGTACATCAGTTTACATAAGGATACATCACAATGCACCACTGTACATCAGTGCTTCATCTAGATCTGCTCTCGAGTTATACCAATGGTCTCCTCAGTTTGCATATGCCTTTGCAAACACAGTAAACATCTTTAATTTTTTAATTACATTCAATTCACCGTGATTCACTGTCTATTATAAGGTAAACGCGGGGAAGAAGGTGTTCTTATGGGTAGAGGTACCATGAGGAAGAAGTGGAGGATAAAGTTTGACAAAGAAGTGTGAACGGGGGAATGGGGATGGAGAGTTCTCAAATGTGCAAATGTTCCTTACGGAACGTAAGCTGTTGTGAGGTTAACAGCGTACAGGAGGATTTTCGTTCACATGGAGTTGATTTCTGTTTCATTTAGGGTTGCCCGATGGTAGCCCAAAGAAGGAAGCCATTGCTGCTGAGGCTGAGTTAGCTGTATATGGAGGCAGGATATGAGGGCAAATAAAAGTTTGTGTACAAGTATTTCAATTCATCAAGCCGCACCAGAGTTACTTCAAATTGACTGTGTTCTTTACAGTTTTATTACACAAGGACACATTTGGATCAACATGCAGGGTCTTCGTAAGGAAAGAACGTTTAATCGTTCCTGAAAAGTTCCGGAATCGCTTTGACCAAGTCTCAATCCCTTTGACCAACTCAAATCAGTTTTGACCAAATTATAGTTTCGCCCAATCTTTTATCGCTTCGACCAAACTGTACATCAGTTTACTATCAAAATCCTAAGTGGTTCAAGCAAATTCTAGCGTTCGGTTTGATGTTGAATTTTATCACAAGTGACGTTAAAAATTGAGGATTCTTTCGCATCGGGAGACCTTTATTATTCGATGTCTGGGACGTGTTAATCTAAAATGAGGTCATCACTAGAGTATTGTAAACGTTCGTCGTCCTCTACTAGGGTTTGGAGAAGAAGCGGTCTGCGCTTCGTGAAATCCAGGCTAAAACTCGGGAGATTGCAGGAGAAATTTGAAGCAAACCTGAAAAGAGAATGTCGATTTTATCTCTGTTTCATAATCTCTTGCTCGCCCTGACAGAGATTATTGAGGCAAGTTAAAGAAACGACTGAAAACTAGATGCAACACTGAATCTGGTAACAATACGCATCGTTAATTTTACTGGTTTCATCTGTTTTTGCTGAGACATTAAATTTTCTTGTCATAGAGTTGACATGTAAAGCAAGGACGAAAGAGATTATTGAGGCAAGGATGAAAGTACATGTGTATACGACGTTGGTTATTTCAGATCTTTACGGTCTGTTGTTAATGTAACCTTCGTGATAAACGCATGTTTCTTTGTATGGGTCTCTTTAATTTCGAAGAACAGCTCATCCCGCATACGTCACATCCGTTCGAGCTGTTTTATTCAGCTATTCTGCATTATTCCGAGCTCGCAAGAACGGTTTCCAACTTTGTTCTGATATCATGTTTTATAAAATTTTTTATCGTTTTGGCAGGAAGAACTTTACAAATGTAAAACTGCAAGCTAAAATATGCAAAAAGATACACTACCAAGATGTAATGACTCATTTTGCTATGGCATTTTGAGATATTTACCACCAAAATTACAAATGAATAAATTTTGAATTAAGCGGCAATTTATGCGATAGTTCAAACAAAATGCACGTATAATAGGCAAGATTTCTTCAATATTGCTCATGGACCCGCATCGAGGTGTGTATGGATGTAGATTGATCTATTACAGGGGTAGGCAACATACGGCACGCGGGCCGGGTCCGACTCCTGAAGGGATTTTGACTGGCCCGCCGATTGTATCCGTCTATATCTGTGATTAAAATATTAAATATTATTCATGTAATAATCCGGCCCACCAATAACTTCATTTTCCTAAATCTGGCCTGCCGACTGGAGAAACACGTTGAAGAAATCGAAAACCTTCTTCCAGCGCAAACAGGGTAAGGTTATTGATTATTCGGACCTCGAAATTTTTACAGCCATTTGTTGTAACAGCGCCAGTAATATCGTTGGTTGATGACACGTGATAAGTGTCGCTCTTGATTGTAGCATTCAAGAATGGATGCTAGAGACGTGACGTGAAACAGAGTTGAATTTTACATTTCTTGACCGAAGTCTTCGCTTAAATATAAAGTTTGAAGACGACGAGTATACTGTGAAGGATATTGACCTTGCGACCGACTTTCCAGGTTTTTTATAGTATTTATAATATGATCTTGACCTTGGCTAACACAGTGAACTGTATTATAAACTGGAACGCTAACTTTAATGCTAGCTCAATACGACATTTTGAAGCCAGTTAAGATGTATTTGTATCTGAGTTTTTAGGTTTTCCTAACAAATCTTGTGTGCTAAAACTTTTCATGACAAATTGTGCTACTGTATTTTATGTGGATCGTTGTTGATTTTCTGAATAATATCATGAAACTTCTAAAAACTCAGAAAAACAAGCTTCGTTTCGGAGATGACGGAAGATGGCGGTGTTGTTAACGTTCCAGTTGATATTTACAGTTCACTGGGCTGATGATAGAGAATTCTTGAGGTAGTGTTGAAACATGATGAGATCACGGGGTGATATTTGAACACGATGGGATTATAGGGTGTATCTGAGAAGGGAACACAAAGCCTAGAATATTGTAAGTGGGCTAGATGTGATAACTCATTTCTATACTTCTTACTTAAGCTGAGCAAATGCATCTCCTTTGTAAAAAACGCAGTAACCATGCGCGTTGGATCATATGTTGCATTTTAGGCACCAGTCCACCCATTAAAACACTCGCCATTTCTTTGATCAAAGAGCATTTTGCCTACCGTCAACTCTCTTCGCTATTTTCGAATCGGAGTAAAATCTTAAAGGTAAGATAGCTGTCCTCTTAAGTTAAACCCTTTAGTACGCCCCATACTACGAATTCTGATGAATGCAATTTCAGCTCCTTCATCAAGTGTCGTACGCAAGTGTACAAGCGAGGATGTTGGTGAAAGCAATCGAAAAATTTACTGTTGATCACATCATTGTAACTGAAGACAAGATGTAGGTATAGTATGGTCTGCTGTTTTTATCGGGGAATCTGTGAGGTTGAAAGAGCAACAGTTGGGAATTTGCCTCATTCGAACGTTTGAACCCAAAAAACTTTACATTTCTAATAAACCGGGTAGAATTGTCGAGTCATTCATTTTGAATAATGAACAATTTCAATGACTGGTGAGAATTATCAAGCATTATATACAATACCTTCACGACCAGGATTACTCTGACCTAGATCGTCCAGGTCAGAGAAGTCCTGAGAAGGACTATTGGTGTTGACGTTGGCTGTCACGTGACTAAGAAGATGGCTATCGCTGACTGTATCTATCGCTAGGCCATCGAAACGTCAGTCAACATCAACACCAAGTTATTTTAATGGACTTTATACTAACCTGGACAATCTATTATCTAATGTTCGAACATGTAACGACACTACAGCGTTCGAATCTATTAACATGCATAACTTAGTTGTTTGTTACAATGTTTGAATCGGTTGGTTTGTTAGCTAAGAACTGTTTTTTCTGAGGAGGATCGCAGAAAGTGCAAGCCCAAACCTCTATTTCACAGTTTCTCGAGTATATTACTCTTTGTACAATCCTAGACTCTACGACTCCAATTATAGCGCGTTCATACTGAGTGCCGGAGTCGATACCTTTGGTTTGTCATAAATCTGCAGGTTGTTCACACTACGTAGTACCTACTAGATTCGTCTATTTTATAATTTCATGTTTTTCATTGTGCCATCAACTTTTGAACCATACGCCTGAATACGCTGTCTCTCTGTACATGTTACCAGGTGTCGTCGTTTCACATTGGTGTCCGTGCTTCGAGAACTCTTCCGTACTTCTGGTACCGCCTTCTTTCGTGGTGCCCAGACCCGGCATTTGACTGGCACCATCAAAATGTCGTGTTCATTACTTGGTGTCCGTGCCGGGGCACCAGTCTGAATGCGCTATTAGTTTTCCGTATCTAATAATAAACTTTGTTAAGTAAAACGAATTGTTGAGAAATTTATCGTGTTTTAGTTTGAAGACAGAATTTTCGGAGTTACGAAAGGTTTTGAAGTTTGTCGTTACATTTGATCTGCGCTCTCTCGTGATAGATGGGAAAAATACTGTTCACAACCCAACAATCATCGGCACTTGCGTAAGGTACGTTTATTTGATGAAGGCAACGGAAGTAAAATGCTGAAAGTTCACGT